TTGAGTAAATGTCTTAAAGGATAAATAATTTCACTTTTAATAATAATAATAAAAAATGTGGCCCTTGAGTTCTCAACCTTACAATTTTGGCCCTACTTGCAAAAAGTTTGGACACCTTCGATATAGATCAAAGCAAATTCAAGTGGTAGCTTGAAAGGATAAATTAAATTCAATTAATTGGGGGGGAAAAACAACACATCACCGCTGATTTTTGCAGAACTGCCTAAAAATCCCTTCATTAATCCATAAGTGGGGAATCTATTTCTTTCTTCGCGGAGCTGTGGACGGAATAACTGAATAATTGTGTCCACTTCTATTCCCAGCGGACACGTTCACCAGGGGAGCAAAGTGAGAAATTAAAGGTAATCTCCGTAAGCGTCTCAGCTCATGGCTTCCAGAAATAACCCGACTATTATCGGTTTCCATCAATCAACAGCGGTTTAAACAGCGGGACGCGGCGGATGTGACCGCTTCCTGGCTGCGCGCGACATCACTTTTACAGCACGCGCTCAATTTGGACCATTTTAATTTTTATGCCACTTCAGGAGAGGAAACGGGTAAAATTAGCCCCCCTGCTGCCAGCAGCAGCTCCTCATTCACAAGTTATTACTCCCTGAAGCGGCTCATTTCGTTACGTCGGCGGACGAAAAGCAGTTCCCGCGGAGGGAGATGGGAATGACGGAGGATTTGTCACTGACCCCGTCTGGAGTGAGGAACGTCATAAAAATCTAATTTGTGAGTCACTGCGGGTCGAAGCCCAACCTAGTTAGAGAAAGCTCTGATGGAGGGTGTGTGCAGCTCCAGACCTCCACCGCGGGTAAATGTGTGTTGAATCCGCTGGGAGAGCACGTCGTGTCGGTGTGACGGCTCCATGTTCACCGACTGGGATGAAACAGCGGCTCTGGGGCCTCGATTCAGGCCGCTGCGGCTCCCACTGCTCCACAAGAAACTCTGCAGTTTTCACTAAGATGCCATCGATTGTGGTGACGCCTGTGGGTGATGCTGTGGAATAAAAATCTTTAGATTCAATCTGAAATCTACAGCTACATACTAGATATATTGATAATCTAGCCAATCCGTATTCTAAATATGAGAAAAAATATTTTCATATAATATTGGTGAAAGATTTCAAAATGACATTTTTTTAGACAAAGTATGACTTTAAATGTTTCTTAGACTTAAACTTATAGAAACGGAAGCAGATAGTTTTATGCCTTTCTGGGTTTATGCAAGCAAAACAAAAGAACCAGACAAGATTTTACCTAATATGTCATTAACATTCATTCATTAACCCACAATACTTTCTGTTTTTTTTCTTTTTCACTAATATAATGTTTAGTTACATTATCTTGTATTGTGATGTAAAATAAACTTGTTTTTTTTTTTAAAAAAAAACATGCTGTTATTCATCACATCCCAAACCATTCAGTATCTTCTACTTTTTGACATTTATAATGCAACCATATTTACATCCCTCAGACTTTTAGAGACTTTGTCATGCAAGAACAACAAACTACAAAGGATTTCAAATTAGTTTTTACGTGATAAACTGACACAACGTATGATATAACAGCTATGTGAAAAAAATAAAAATCACAATCTTATTTTTTAAATTTAAATCTGAACTTTGACTTGGTCTGTCAGTCTGTCTCTCTATAAACATCAGTCTGTCACCGCCGTGCTTCACAATGGAAATGTTGATCTCATGACCTCTTAAAAATGTAGTTTTTTTTTTTCTTCTACCGTGTGATAAATGACCAAAACGGAGCCATAGACAGACAGGACTGAGCTCTTCCTGTTTGTTCTCTCTGCTCTCTCTGTGTCTCAGTTGGAGGCTCTTTTCCCCTTTTCCTTCTTTATTTCTATAATGGCTCCACATCACAGGTGTAACGGTTGTTCAGACATTGAATCATAATAACCCAAACGTTTGATTTCATGTTTCCTGCTTCTGTCAGCAGATTAAATTCGGATGACAGAGCTCCAGATGTCAAGTAAGCAGGCTGTATATAAATGTATCTCATTTATTAACAGCCTGTGTTTATAAATTAACAGCAGGTTGTTAATTTAGAGGAAGTGTATGACTTCCTCTACATGTGAAGTCATACAGTGCAGCGTGGTAAGTAACGAGAAGGTCTGAGCACAGGAAGTTATTTCTACATGTGGCACTGATGAATAAAAGTGAACTCAAGGAGAAACTGTCTTTCATCTTGTAGACAAGAAGTTTAAAATGTGATTATGATCCGAGGTCACCTTTATCAGTGGGACAAGTCATGGTCATGATTGCTTATTCTTATGTATGAATAATGACAGAAAAAAATGATTGAATACACGAGGAATAATTCATATACTGTTAAAAAGAGTCTGAGGCGACAGATGAATTCAGAGTCGGTGCTGATTAAACCAATTTTTTAAAAAACTTTTGTATTTCTGATTGCAATTATTAACTTTTTCAATTTATTCACTTTTTTAGGACTTACCTTAAAAGTGACATGAAAATACTTTATTAGCAATGTGCTTAAGTTTATTTCTTTGCCAATGATCTCATTAAATAAATCATTTTCAGATTTTGGAAAGTCACAAGTTCCTCTCCGATGTAAACAGGCTTTGATTCTTTTTTTGTTTTTGAAAATCCAGAAACAACTGAATTGAGGCATCAGTAACAGGTTCCTTACTTGTGGTAAATAAATAAATACATAAAATTATGAACTTGAGGAAAGTAAATAAACATTCAGAATGATGAAAAGCAGCTGGTCATTCCAACAGACCTACGTTTGTGCACACAACCAATGAATTTGACTTTAAATCTTCTTTACTCACAATAACGCCATTTTAAATACAAATACATATACGGTTTATTACTTTATTATGGTTTATCTCCTGAAGCCTCACTGACCCCCCAGTAGAGTTAATTATCACACACCTCAGACATTTTGTTTCAGCCCACAGTTTAGAAAACCTTCATTAACAGGGTGATGATACAAACATCAGAGGCTTTCAGAGGCCTGTTACTTTAGGATTAAATAAGGACACAGTGGATGTTCACCTGTTTGTCAGTTTCTGTGTTTGTTGGTGGTGGAAAGGGAATTAGAAGTAAGAAAAAAATGAGTCAAACTGGTTGCAACAACAGAGTATTACGGCCATATCAAGAATTAATTTTTATTTTACAAGAATAAAGTATAAAGATTACAAGAATAAAGTTGAAATAAAAATACTAGAATTAAGTCATCATAACTTTGTTCTAGTATTTGTATTTAACCTTTATTCCAAAGTATTATAATGCTGATTATTTTTATAGTAATTTTGAGTAATGTGACTTTATTCTTTTTATTTCAACGTTATTCTTGTAATACAACTTTATTCTCATTATTCTGTCTTTATTCTTGCAATATTATGACCTTTTTCTCATGTTATTACAAGTTTAGTTCCCATATTGTATTTTTGTAATATTATGACATCATTCTCCTAATACTATGATTTGATTCTCGTACAATTATTATTTTTTTATTTTCTTCGCCGTCGTCGGCTGTTACCAAGGCGACAGCTGATCAATATTTTTCTCCACCTTCTCAGAGCTGCAGCCGTCTGGTCCAGTATCTGTGCAGCAGCTGAGGTTTAATTGAAAACATTCAATCCGAGTGAGTCAGAAGCCAGAAAGCTTTAGAAAAGTTGACCCAAACAGTTTCTGGAAAAGGAAGATAAGAGTTTAAAACGCAGCTGTGAGTGAACAGTTATTGGACACACAGGAAGGTGGAGAGACACAGACAGATTTTATAGAGGACAGAACGTAGAGCTGACAGACCCCTTGTTCACATCCATTACTTTTCTGTTCTTGATTTGCTTGTCACTTCCTGGTGAGGCCTGCAAACAGGCTTATAAAACTTTATTTAGATAACTTATTTTCACACAGCTACTGTGAAAGAACACAGGTTTTCTCACAAATGAATTAGATATTTTTATGTGTTTGCTGTTATTATTGTGATTTCATTTTTGCTTTTCAGGATTTTTTTTTTTAATGAAAACAGATTTTTTTGGAAGAAGGCTTCTGTTTGGAGAACGTATGTTGAAGTCATACAAAAATAACATAGAAATAATATGAGATTAAAGTTGTAACATTATTACTTTATTGTATTATTTTCACTATTCTCGTCATTTTATGACTTTATTCTCGTAATTTAATTGTTTTTATCTTTTTAGCGTGGCCCTAGTACTAGCATTCAATACTTTGTAGAACCAATTTTTGCTGCAGTTCTTCAGTCAGAGGCCACGTCAGCATTGCTGCCAGACTGACTGCTACCAGAGGTTCTTCCAGTCCACACCACCACGAAAAAAGGACAAAATGCATATGCTCATAATGAATTAAAATATCACTGAAAAGTTTGACTATTTAGTAACTCGATCATCTAAATAATTGAAACACACTATATAGATTGAGTACCCACAGACCGATGTTTCCAAGCCTTTATTTCTGCTAATCGTGAAGAGTTTCCACTAACAGATAATCAAAATGTGACATTTAAGATTAAAATATTGCATCACACAAACAAAATTAGTTTGTTATTGCAGAACAGTGGGGTTAGTGATGAAAAACAATACAAACTTGCTTTTTTGTTTTGTTTTGTTTTTCAAAAGGGTATGTTTAATCAAACAAGCCTCATCGGGACACATTTTGCACACCTTCCTCAACAGGATTCATTTCAGGTACTGAGTTGCATAATCCATAGCAAATATATATAAACATTGATTAAAACAGCATATATCAGGCATAACCCAGTTAAACGACATTTAACTGAAGTCCTCAAAGGGGTGCGGGTTTTAATGTTTTTATCTTTTTTAATCTTTTTCAAAATGTCTCTTTCTCACTGTTTTGGTGATTTTAATGTTTTTATCTTTTTATGTTTTTTTAAATCTCTTTCTTTTTCTCACATGCTGTTTTTATTTTAATTATGTGAAGCACTTTGAAATGAAATGCCTTGCTGCTGAAATGCGCTATACAAAAAAATTTTATTGATTGATAACATGGGATCATTTCTCATGTCTTTGATGCTTTTGTGTTTATCATTGTTCATGCTATTTATTTGCTCATAGCAGTTTAGCTTCCCTTCACTTATAGACAGCATTTACATGAACGTAAAAAATTCCTTACTCTCTTTCTCTTTTTCTGCTTTTGTTCTGGTTCACACGATTCCGTCTGTCTCGCTTCTGTTTGGTGTGATTTATTCTTTTTGTTTTGTTTATTCTGTTGATCTGGTTTATGCTTTCCATTTTTGTTTTTGTCGTCATTAGCTTGTCTGGGGTTCTTTTTATTTAAAAAGTCTACAATTTGACCCACTGCCTTGTCGTTTTGTGAACATTTCAGTAAACCCCGCTCGGTGTCGTGAAACAAAACATGAACATACAAGGCAACATTACTGGTTGTTTCAGACCAATTTGTCCCACCAGTTGAGTAGTCAGGATCTCGGGTGTGGTGCATCAAAACCAGGATGAGACCTCCATAATCTGTTGAAAGAAAGAAGAAATGCAGCTCAACGTTAGACTTCTACACCACTAGAGCATGCTTTAAAATCAATCCTTAAATCTGTTTATCGTACAAATCGGAAAGTATATTATCAAGAAGACTTCGCACTTTTCTGCTTAAGTCATGAAAACATCCAGGATTTCATTCAGATGTTATGTTGAATTGCTATCAAATGTTTTGCCTCTCTGGGTCTGATTGAATGACTTGAAATGAACAGAGTTTGCTAATAAGGCATGGTTTTTTTTAGAGTTCTCCAAATGGTGTTACATGTCTAAGTGCCGTAAATCTCAAAATTTGAAAAAAATAAATTGTGATATTTACACAGAAAGTCACAGACACAAACCTGTGGATCGGTATTTGACCCCGTTGACATTATCAACATAAAAATGTGTCAGGAAACAAATAAGTTAGTCTCACATGGTTCCCAGCACAAGGACTTTTACATAATGAGCTGATAGTCTATTGTTTCAACTCCACGCAGAAAAATGAAATGTATTAAACGTAAATGATTTGGGTTAATTGCTCAGGAATACAAGTCTTGATAACATGGGTTACCTTGTGCCTGTTGTGGTTGTTCATTGTTGGTCAAACCTAAAACGGGGAAATAAAACCATCTTCACATGCATCCGTGACAGCAAAGCTTTGAGACTTTCATCTATAGTTTCATGATTATTTTTGATTAAAAAACTATTTGAAAACAAAGATGAGTTATAGTTTCATACTTTTCACAGTTGCCATGGCTGCTTCCACATCTGAGCCAACCCGGGACGTGATGGGACAGAAAACAATGAGGTGCTGTTTCTGCTTCTTGCTGCTCGTTACCTTCTTCAGAACTTGTCTCAACACAGCGTCGTCTGCCCCAAACGTTTCCCCAGTAGTGACTTTCTTGAGCTAAATTCACAGTGAAACAACCAAGAAAAATGTACTGATCGCTTTCTATGAAAAATGCTGCTGAGCTGGCAACGCATCTGGGCCATCATGACAAGATATGAAGGATGTCGTGCCTCTGCTTGTTTACACCTGTTACCTTTAGCGCCTCCATCTGGTCTGTTAAGGAAGCTTCACCAGGTTCATATGGTTCGATTTTCTGGCTCTGACCTGAGACATTTACACAAATAAAAGAAGATGAAAAAAGAATCAGTCATTAGTATATAGAATAATTCAGTGTTAATTTGGTATTCATATTAGCTGAGCTGCCCACTCACCTCCACAGCAAAATAAGTTCATCTTTTGGCTTCCTAGAATAAATATATGCACAGCAACATCAATCCATGTATTTTTTTCTCTGGAAAGGAAAACTATATTTATGGTTCTTTGAGGTGGAAAGTTTAGAGACATTCGTTCCAGTAGGGCTAAAGATCACCAACATTATGCAGAGACCTTTGTGGGTGTTCAATGTCAAAAAGGGGCAAATGGATCCAGATTTTACAACATAACTCAATCCGTGCCATCATACTTCATCATCATCATTAGGCGCGGACCATGCAAAGCAAAAGTAGCCTGTTTCCTCTGACGTGTTGCTGATTTACATTAAAAAAGACCACAGGAGACATGGTAGATAATTAAACAAGTGTGAATGAAGTCTGTATGATGTAAATTCTGAAATAATTGATATTACTGCTGTGTTTCACTGAATAGACCCGATTTTATGATTGGCTAACTGCCACAGCAACTCAGCTAAAGTCTGCTTTGAATATCAAAATAACTCAGAGGGGCTAACTTCTTTTCAACAGTTTACAACTCTGAGAGATTTAGGTGGAGATATCATCATTAGATATATCTCACAGACATGAAGTGAAAATATTATTGAATTTCAAATAATTGAAATAGAAATAAAAAAAAATGTGACATTTTGATTTCCGTATTTGTGGCACGTTTGGCTTTCCATACATGTTTTTGTTACAATGTGTGTATTTAGGGAAGAAGACGAGAGTTGTTCTGAAACCACTGCTGAAAGGACAATTAGGAAACAAGAAGTAAAACAAGCCGCTTTATGTGACTTCAATATCAGAACTATATTTTTCCTCCAAAAACAAGTTCACGCTGGAAAAAAACAACAATTTTACAAGCATGGTAGTAACCGCGATTTAACCTTTCAGATTACTTATATGTAGTCATAAATGTCAGAGAATGTTGCAAGTTCTAAGACAAAAACAAAGCCTGTTTGACCAGCTACATTTCTCACGTTTATTTCCTTTTTAATGACAAAAAAATCAACAAAGCTCAGAATGACAATGAAACATCTTGTCTCCTACCTTTGCTGTTTGTGTTGCAGCAGCTGAAAATAAGAGTGAAAGACGGTGCAGGATGACCAAGCAGCTGGCAGAAAACACTTTCACTTTCACTTTAAGACAAACCACGTGGTTTACAGCAAGCTTGCTTATCTGAGATTCCTCCATGGCAACACACTGTTTAAAGTCCACGTTTTTGCTCATCAGCAGCAAATTTACTAATACATTTCACTGACAATGACAAAAATAATGTAACCCTCGACCCCCATAAATAAAATTTTTTAAATATGAAGTAGAATATGAACAGAATGAATTACATCAGCACATAAGTGGGCGCCTATAAAAAGTAGTCACACCCTTGGATGTTTGACTCTTTTATTGCCTTTACAAATCCATAATGAGCAACAAAATGTCTTTTAAAAGAAAACATTTACAAAAAACCCAAACAGAAAGAAAATTTTGATAAAAATAATGTCAAATAAAAACAGTGAACATAAAATACATAAAATGCAACCAACACTGAAAACCACTTGGTTGAGTTAGTAGGTATTGGTTAATAAATTCTACATGTTATCTTTCTGTGCTTCAGATTAAGATAAGTTATATTATGTTACAACCTCCTGAGTAATCTGTTGCTAAATCGTAAGATATTCTTAAGGTTTTAAACTGTCATTTATTGTAGTTTTCTGTATAAACAAGTAATAATCATCGAATAATGCTCTGAGACTTACTGAATATTTAATATTTATTTCCATGGTAAATGAAACAGCCACAAACATTTTTAAATGGAATAAAGGTCCTTACACTGAATAACAAGGAAGCACACACACACGCACACACGCACGCACAGACACACAGTCAGACACACGCACACACACGCACACACACACACACACACACACACACACAGACACTTGTACTTGTTATTTGTTGAGACTGAAAGCACCTAAAACCCCAGTCTGCTTTTTAGGTAATAACATGTAAATGATTGATTTCAAAGAAAAATTTTCATGCTTCTTATATAAAAATCACAAAGGTGGTGCAAGAAAACAATAATTGTACAGATGCTAGTATCCTATGACTGCTACATAATAACGTAATATGACTCAAAAAGCACTTAGAAAGAAAATAAACACATCTTGTGCAAATTAGGTTGGACCTGCATCCCTACCAAGAGAGGATACCATCAACAACATAACACCTGAGTTTAAAGTAAGCATTAAACTCAAGCCGCTTAAGACTTTATATAATTTTACATGTTCTGGTTATTTTAAATTCTCCAAACTAAATTATGCTTTTTCAATTTGATTTAAAGTAATGACAATCTGTTTTAATTTTTTTTATATTTATCTTGTTTTCTGACAATGACACATATCATATCATCATATCAGAATGTTTGTATTCATATGAGCTGTTTTCCAAAAACACATCATAGTTAATCACTGAGTAACTGTTTATTGGTCCTGCTGGTGGATCCATTCTTCCTTAGACAGACAGCAGCCACACAGACAGATTCTCTTAAGGTGCCTCAGGATTAACTTTGTTCTGTATTGTTTAAAAAATGTTTGTATTTGATCCACAGCCTCCATGTTCTTGGAACAGATGAGCAAACCCGGCACACTTTCATGGAAGAGGACATGAACATCAAGGTCAACGTTTGGATGCATTTCTGACCACGAGATTCCAGCAGTCGAGTAGTCAACATCTCTGGTATGATGCATCAAAATTAGGATGATCCTTTTACTGTCTGTAGGGAGAAAGAAGAGATATGATATTTTACTCCCGGATTTAACACCTTGAAATTGGGCCTCTGTCTCTTTAAGAAGCTCCTGGTCTTTCTGAAACTCTGCCTTCAGGAAGTCATCACAACATGGCTCCTCTATTAACCCTTCAACAACATTTTCACCAGGGTTACACTGGCTCCTTTAATGAGCTGAGCAGATGCTCAGCTCCACCAGGTGTTTGCTAATTGCTGCTGGCTAGTCTGAAGGAGCTGAGAGGGAGAGGGCTGCTATCAGCAGTTTCCAAACATCTGAGGCAGATGTTTGGAAACTGCAGCTCAGAGGAGGAACTTAATTCTTGAAGAGTGGCTTAGACCCACCCAGATGTTTTCCTAGTTGAATGGTTGCCATGGGAGATTAAAGTATTTCTCAGTCATGCATGAAAGAATCAAAGCATCACTCCGTATATGTTTTTGAAGAGGGAATAACATTATAGCATGATGCAAAACTCTAAAAAGTTGATTTTCAAAAATGTATTATTTCCTAAATCTAACATGCTGTCTGGATAAAAACAGTAGCGTGATGTGTGTGTGATCATCTCCCTACATGTCTTTTACCAAGCAAAATAAAACAGAGCATGATGTTATCAATAAAAATGATACCTGATATCTTACCCGGCACATTTCTTAGAGCCGCTTCCACATCTGATCCAACCCGAGAGCTGATTGGACAGAAGACGATGGTGTACTGCCCGTCCTCGGTTCTGCCCTCCAGCCTTATCTTGCTCTGCACCTGTTTCATCAGAGCTTCATCAGAACCGAAGGTTTGCCCACTGACAACCGTCTCCACACTGATTGAGTCTGTTGTCAAAATGTAAAACAGAAAAAACATAAGAACCAAACAGACATATGGAAAGTTAGATAATAGAATGAGCCTCTGTGGTCACTCACATGAGCAACCCATCTTGGTTTCCTGCACAGAGAAGCAAAATGATTGGATTACTGCCAACGACATATTCGCGTTTTTAGATCGATTTTTACCCAGAATGCAAATGGAAAAAACCGTGAGAGAAACGGTGACTGGGACTGACGAGTATATATTCCATTGAGGGAAAGTAAGTTTCACATTTGCTCAAAAGCCCCCTGGTGGTTGAAGAAAAATCCACATATAAACCGGAAAATACAATATATGAAAAAAAAACACTGAATGCTCTCTGGTATTGTTCAGGGGGCCGGACCAAATGAGGAGGCGGGCCGGATCCGGTATTGTTCAGGGGGCTGGACCAAATGAGGAGGCAGGCCAGATCCGGTATTGTTCAGGGGGCCGGACCAAATGAGGAGGCGGGCCAGATCCGGCCCGCGGGCCGTAGCTTGGGGACCCCTGATGTAAACCAATATTACAAACATAACAAATTACAAGTAGACAT